TTGCCTGCATGTCCAGACTTTCGTGCTTCTGTATTTTCATTTTTCATATCCGTGCTTCCGATGTCAGTTTGTTTCTTGTCCACATTGCTAATATTCGACCTTGCAGATTGCTCTCGGCTCTTATCTCCATTTGCTGTTGATGTTCTTCCAAACTCTTTCGTCTTTTTCATCTCATTCTCTTGTTCAGTTCCATCGTGTTCGTTAACCCCGTTGCTAGGATTTGTCATGTCAAACTCTTCCCATTCAGTGCCTTCTTTGATAGTAGCATTTCCTGTGTTTATCAATCCTGTGTCTTCTCTGTCTTCGCGTTGCATGCTGGTCTTGCCCCTGCTTGTCCTTCCCGATCTCCCTGATCCTTCACGTATCGTTTCTCCATTATTGACTTCTGCTTTTGCAGACCCATTCCGTGCTTTCTGGTCATTGCTCTTAATTGATTTTCCAGATCCCTCGCGGTTTTTGTTTCCACTGCCAGTATCTTCCATTCGAGATCCATTATTTTCTCTTGCTTTATCGTTAGGTCCTTCACGTTCCGTAATTCCATTTCGAACTGATGATCTTCCAGACCCGTCTCGTGTAATACCTTGATTTACTGAAGCCGCTCTTCTTGGTCCTCCTGAAGTCGTCTGCTCGTTTCTAGTAGCTGATCGTTCAGATTTATCCCCTCCATCGTGTCCATTGCTTTCGTTCGTATTTCCGGATCCATCCAATTGTTTGTTTCCGCTACTAGTATCTGCCATTCGAGATCCGCCTCTCACGGTTTCTTTACTAGTACCTGCTAGTTCATTACCCGTATCAGGGCGTCCAGATCTTACAGATATTCGTCCAGACTCTTCTCGTGTCGCCCGTCCAATACTCTTACCCGACCTCCCAGAGCTATTTCGTCTTGAATCCCCAACAACATCGTCCATTCTAGATCCTTTTAATGCACTGGTCTTTCCTGATTTCTTTCGTTCCGTATCGTCTATGTCAGCCATTTTTTTCAATTTCTGTTTATTTACTACTTATTTTCTTGGATATTATGAAAAACGTTCTGTTGCATTCATATTATTTATTTTCACAGACGTTTGTCTATTGTTGTTTTTCTTCCTTTTCTTTCTCAAAGTGGAAGATGTGGAGTATAAAGTAGTTTCAGAATGCATGGTCTTACGTGGCGGTCAACTTCCGTTTCAACCTGGAGTAACTATGATCTACATCCCCATGGAACAGCAGCCTGCAATATGAAAGGATCACATTGATTTATATATTAGACAAAAATTCAACTGAAAGAATGTATACAAAAGGCACTAAAGATCTTTTAGATTGTTGGTAGTTCTAAGAATTTCTAAGGCTGGTGTTAGTCTCTCAAATTTTGAGTTTGGGAGTTATCAACTGTTACTTTGTTCACTTTTAAAAAGTCATAAACCTTAAATTCAAATTTTCTGAGCAAGAAAAATGTTTAATTTTGTCCAGATTATTTCTTCATCTAATTTTGTTCCCAGCCAGTGAAATCGGAAAAGAGGTATATACCCAGCCACATTAACCATATATTTATATTGCAATTTGGGAAAATGATGATTTTCTCATATGGAAAATCTTTTAAATGCTTTCCAATCCCATGTGTATATGTATTGTGATTCTCGACGTAATCGGATTAACACAAGACTGATATTAGGGTCAAGGTGAACCGAAATATGTATTACCGTACTGTGTTAACTGTGTCTGGGAAACAAATCACACATATATATATAATGACGTGTTGCTCTGTTTATTTCGGAATACACTAAATAGTGCACTTGTTATATCGAATCAAACAGAAGGATATGTTCGGAATACACTTACCAAATATTGTTCCGTCTTAATATTGTGTTACTCTATTTTTTTCGGAATACACTAAATATTGTACTTTTTGTATAGAATCAAACAGAAGGATATGTTCGGAATACACTTATCAAATATTGTTCCGTCTTACCCTGTGTTATTCTACTTAGTAAGGATTACATATTGTTCTACAACGTTACTACTTCGTTCGGAATACGGCAAGCATTGTTATCTCTATCTGTTCATGTTCCGTTATCATTTCGGTTAAATTCTACAATTCTACTAATGGTAAAGCCGAAGCGTACATCTTGCTCTACAAATGATTTGTTATGACTATAGGTTTAAACATGTGTGTACTAGTAGTCCTTTTTCGATTTGTCAACAAATCTGTTACAAGTCTTTGTCAAAATAATGAGGTCAAACACACTTGAACTTGTGGCTGAATGGGGACCTGTCCGTCTTAACATACAAAGATTTGTTAGCTTTAAAAACTGGACAAGACATGAAGGTGGTTTTAACTAAAAGAGAAACAAAATATGAGAACATGGACAATAGTTTCAAACAAATGCTGACAGAAAAAAAACCCAAACAAACAAGATACACGAACATTAATATAGTAGGATAGGGCACGTGGAATGTACGAGAATATCTAATCAGGGAAAGTGGTTATTTTTAGTCCAATATTTCAAACCAAGTTTAAGCATGTGTAGTGATTTAATGGTAAAGTGAGGATTCCTTTTCAGTTTTAGCTTTACTGGGTTATAATTAACTGTAATTGTATCCCTACACGATTAAGGTTACACGTACAATTATATGTATCTATACCATACCGTTAAATGTTTAATTATGCTATGGCTGTGCATAAGGTTGTTCTTTGTCGTAACATGTTTCTGAAATTCAGTTTTAAATCGAAGTTCAAATATTAATTTTCATTCAAAATCTTCAATGGTCTATATTCTAGAGCTAACGCTTGGATTTAGTTCTAAACAGCTGGCTTGTTAGCTCGTTGATATTTACCTCAAATTTATGAATTGGTGGTCAAAAATCGATCCTAACCCATGGTTTTCTGTAGTGGTATATGTATCCGGTAACGCTGAATGACTTTTCTTGTTAACACTCCGACAAAATGACGGCCCTTTGGGTCTTGAAACTTCAGAAATACTTAAAAATGTCCAGATCGTGTTTGGCAGAACGTTGTTACTATTTTGTTTCGCTTGAACGAGTGTCGTGTCGTGTCGGTTTGGAACAGAACAATGGTATACATATGTATCCTATGGGCGGTATAATGATAATCAACTGATTAGTTTTAAATCTCCGCGTCACACTGTGGCACGGGTCACACCAACAACCGCTATTATTTTTTACGTCTCAGATGCAGTCTGGCTTTAAACACAAGAATATACCACCATTTAAGCGGTGAATCATTTCAAGTTGTAATTAACATAATATTTATCTTAATTACTAGGTGAATTACGTAAGTAATAAATATCAATAATAATGATAAAAAACAAACAAACAATAAAAAGAGAAGATCTTATATAAACAAGAGTTCCTCGGAACTGTATGTGTCGCTGCATAAAGTGTCACGGTCACCCAGAAATTGAACTGGATGTGCAACGATCAACCATAAAGTTGTAATACCAAATTTCATTTCTATAACTTGAAGCATAACCAAAGAAAGTCAAGAAAACAATATTCCCAGAGAATTTTCTAAGTTCAAAGGAGCATAACTCAGCCAAGAAGGGTCACAGACAGCCAGGAATCAACCTTAATCTGTACCCTGGACTCAAGAAGCTATATACCAAATTTCATTTCGATAACTCAAAGCATAAGCCAAAAAAGTCCGGAAAACAATATTCCCAGGAAATTTTGCAAGTTGAAAGGGGCATAACTCTGCCAAAAAGGGTCACAGACAGCCGGGAACCAAACTTAATCTGTACCCTTGCAACAAAAAGCCATATGCCAAATTTCATTTTGATAACTCAAAGCATTACCGAAAAAAGTCCGGAAAGCTTTCGTACGGACGACGCCACCGCCGCCGCCGCCGCCGACGACGACGACGACGCGTGACGGTGGACAAAGTGATCCCTAAGTGTCTGCCAGCTCTGCAGGCGACACAACCAGATTAATAAAGTCCCGTATTCTCTGTCCTTCTGTCTGTACGTCTGTCTGTCTGTGAAATTTAAGACAATAGCTACTGGAAACCTCACTGCATTCTGCAGGTATTCACTCTCAATGTAAATTACGATTAGATCACCATTGACGTGAAATTGCCGTGCTTAGAAATTGTTCACTTCTCTGCTGCTTGGACAAACTTGGAATCACTTGTTCCAAAGTTCATCAAGGATCAACCGTAACAACATCACTGATATAAAACACTGATCTCATGCGAATTACACGTGATAGTGGAAGAACTCCATATTCTTTTATTGAAGTCGACCCTTCTTCAATTTTTTGTTAGTCGACCTGTAATGTCTACATGAAGGTTGATTAAAACAGGATGCTGTAGCTTGGCTCAACCTGCCATCCAGAGTTGAATCGTTTAAAACGTTACGCTGCTGAACGTTCCACAAATTCGAACAGCAAAATGATCACGACTTCGATATTTTTAGGAATTGTCAGCCTATCTATTAACCAAAGTGACATACTATGACTCGTAGTGGAATTGGAAATAGAAATTCGTTTTATTTACTCATGGCCCAATAAGGGAGATCAAGTTCTATTTCTGTTGGGATGACGGTATATATCAAGTCAGAGGCATCCTTGGGGAAAGTAGAACAAGTTTATATAAAAAATGGATCTGGCTCCTGGTGACAGAGGAGCCGGGTCAAAAGGAGGAAATAGATGTAATTCTTATACAATGTGAATAATTCTTTCCAACCTGTGTCCTATACGCCTACCGTTTAATTATTCATTTTTCCCTGTTTATGATACAAAAGTATCCCCTTGGTGGTGATGGTGATGGGATAATTAAATTTGATGATGGCTTTTGATATCATTTAAGATATTTTTCATACATTTTCATTAGAGGGATAACGTCGGATTGTGTTATCTATCACTAGCATATTAGTGACGCGCCGCCTTCTATCTGAATTGTAAGAGTTACGCCCCTTGCTAAAATCTGATAGGTGTCGTTAATGAATTACTTCCTGTTGATAAAACGAGAGTTCGCGTGTTGAAAAAAATTACATACTGCATTACAGAGCAAGATTTGTTTATATTACAGAACAACGACCTGGTGTTAACTTGTTATGGAGGAAGATGAGTATACTGGTAATTATTCCAGGCGCTTGAATATGTCTGTTGTTGATGAAGGTCTACCATTAAACAGTTTTTTTCCAAAACATTTCAGAACGGAACAAAGTGACTACAACGTCATAACCAGACTCGAGTGTGTGGTTGAAATACAAGTGTTCAAGCACAAAATAATGTATGATTGAATATCAAAATGTCAGTAAGAGAGAGAGTTATCATATAAAACTTTCTTTATAGTATATAGATATGCTTTCATTTCTAATTTCGCACATAAACAGACAACCTCCCAACTCGACAAATTTCACAACGTAAGCAGATGTGTGATTGAATATTAAATTGTTTTGTGATTTAGTGTGCACTTTGTCATTGTAAATTTGTCATCATTTTGGTAGTTTCCATGTCTTCAGTTAAATACAAATGATGTCTAATGTACTTAAACAACACTTACGTGATCCAAGTAAATGGCACAGTCTGAAATTCAAACCACAAGACACAACAGAACGACACATAGATCTGTCATTACATGTAAAGCACGCCGAATATATGAATTATTGGTTCTGTTGGAACATAATCAGGAGAATGAAACTAACAAAAAGGAACAATTTGTAGATTATGAAGAACATTACCATACACTACTTGTTTATAATTTTTCATATGTACTGCTTTTCAACTTGCAAGTGGTATCATGCTGCATGTTGATCGAGTTGAAATGGCAATTGTTTTGACTTGAAATTTAATTGTCTAATCTTATATAAGTTAAATTAGAACCGAAATTATATTTAACAATTTAAGATTAGCATATTTGCAAACATAAAATATAATGTCACATATCAAACCAGTGGTTGCAATTGGGAAATGTTTAGATTATGATATTGAATACAAAAAATTGGTTTGTAGGGAGTGGCGGGAGCACCCCAGTGCAGGATGAGCCCATGTATATGGACGGGGAAGGAATCCAAGAGGAGGTTAGTGAACTGATAGTGAAGATAAATTAGAATTCTCTCTATACAATATTAATTTATCTATATTATAGACAGTATGGTACCTTAAGTAAAATTAAGAAATTTCTGTTCAAATTTCCTGTAATATACAACAATTATTAAGAAATGTGATTTTGTAGAGTAAGATAGGTAACTAAGCAGTTCAAAGTGAAGAAATTATTATGAAGCTCTCTTTTAAGAATATGATTAACTGATGAACGTTTCAACAAACCAGGCTGTCTGTCTGTCTGCTTTTTATAAAATTTGATGAATATATATTCTACAGATGATGAATATTGATCATGCCAAAGACAATGACTCTGATGTTGGGAGTGAAGCGGGTTCTCAGAGAGGTGGGATTAGGGCTGATGATGAGGATGCAGAATATGTAAGTGATGGAGGAGAAGTGGAAAGGGAGGAGGTCGAACAGGATATTGTGGAGGATGATGAGATGAATTCTGGAGATGAGGGTCCAGCCTCTCCTGCCAGTAGAGATGGGTCATATGATGGAAGTCCTCAAGGCTCACCAGACGGAGAAGGGCCAATGTCTCCTGAAACACCCCCGATGTCCCCAGGTAGTGGACCAGCCTCTCCAGAAGACAGTCCCCCTGCAAGCCCTGCCCCAAGTGGCAGTCCACCAGGGTCACCAATGGGAAGTGCTAGTCCCCCAGGTTCACCTAGCGGACCAGCATCTCCTGCTGGCAGTGGTAGCCCTCCAGGATCCCCATCAGGAAGTGCACTAGGGTCACCAAGAAGTCCAGCATCACCAGCAGGTAGTGCTCCTGGTTCACCAGCTGAAAGTGGAAGTGCTCCTGGTTCTCCCAGAGAATATGAAAGTCCTCCAGCCTCTCCTACAGAAGCTGCTAGTCCTCCTGGTTCACCAAATGCTTCCCCAATGTACTCTCCTGTTAACAGTGGTCCTGCTTCACCATCAGGGATTGAAATTCCAGTAATGTCACCAGGAAGTGGGCCTGCTTCACCTGCAGGAAGTGGCAGTCCACCTAGATCTCCAGCAGGAAGTGGCAGCCCTCCTCAATCTCCAGCAGGAAGTGGCAGTCCTCCTCAATCTCCAGCAGGAAGTGGCAGTCCTCCTCAATCTCCAGCAGGTAGTGGCAGTCCTCCCCAATCTCCAGCAGGAAGTGGCAGCCCTCCTCAATCTCCAGCAGGCAGTGGCAGTATGCCAGGATCACCAACTGGAAGTAGGCGGTCTCGGAGTGGAAGTCCAGCTTCAAGATCCAGAAGTCGATCTGCTAGTGGAAGTCGTCGTTCCATGTCGAGAAGCAGATCTCGCAGTGGAAGTCCAGCATCTCGTCGCTCTCGATCACGAAGTAGTAGTCGGGGTTCACGTTCACGATCACGAAGTGGAAGCAGGGGCTCTCGTCGCTCAGGAAGTGAAAGTTCTCGTGGATCTCCCGCTGGACGGCGTCGCATAGACTCTGATAGTGAGGATGAAGGAGCAAAGAAGTCATTTAAAAAGAAAGGTGTGGATATTTAGTTATTATCATTAGGTGTAAATAGGTACAAAATATTAAACATAAAACCAACTAAATGATGAATGTTTCCTTGTAATCAATCAGAATGGTTACAAGAAACTATAGTTTCTAGCTGGAGCTAGTGATTTTAAAAGAAATTGAAAAAATAATGAGGAAAATATGAAACCATTTTGAGTGAACATTGTACTTAATATGTCCTTTACAAAGTGGGAAGAATTACGCATTTTCTGTAACATTCAAAACATGTCTTATAAAAGAAGGGCTAACATAGATTATTTTTGCATAGTTTAGTACTCACATTTGTGTCTGACAATAAGTTTGAAGTTCTGTGACATTAGTCTCTTCAATGATAATATTTTGAAGACAAAAGGATTTTTCATTGTATTCTGATGTTTTTTTTTTATATTTTCAAGCGAAAGGAAGTGATGATGAAGATGATAGTGACAAAGAGTAAGTTATCCAGGCTTGAATCTGTCTTAAGTAAATTGAAATGTTGTGATCGCTTTTAAATTTCTTTCCCTTGGAGTTTTTATCCTCATTTGTTTTTATACTTTTATTACAGGTATTTAAGTAATCATGTTTTCTGCTCTATTGTAAAACAGATTAGAAATTTCACAATTTTCATTTAATTCTTTATTCTAATTTTATTCAATAACTCACATAAACACTCTACTGTTACAGGTCAGAAGTAGGTGAACTGATCGCAGATATTTTTGGATCAAGTGACGAAGAGGAAGAATTTGAGGTAGATCAAGATACTAATTGTTTTAGATCAACACTGTTTTTTTTTAAGATCAACAAATCCAACAAAAAATAAAGTATCGTAATAAAAATGATGTTAATAGTAATTTTTGGATTCTGCTATTTGAGTCCTGGTAACATCCTTTTCCTCTGGAAATCTTTCAAATTTGAGATCCCACTAAATCACTTTAAAAAGAATAGGGCACATTATTGAATTTTTTTTGGATTCAACTATAGAAGTCCTACTAACAAAAATTACGACACTGAACTTGAAAATTGTACTACAATGTTGTGATATTGCTTTCTGTCTTTTCTAAAAAATGCAATTGTTATATATACTTTATTACAATATTTTCATATGTTTACTGCAACATATTACATGCAATCAAAACTCAGGTGACAGGCTTATTAAAAGACCATATAATATCATTGTATTTACTGTGTTCATAATTTTCATTGGCAGTAATATATGTGAATGAAGTTAATACCACACAGAGAGGCTTAATTACCTGATAAATATAACTTGTAGAGGATAGACAAAAAGTGTCAGGCTGATGGAGGATATTCAGTAAAAAGAAAAATTGACAAAGTGTTTGTCTTTGTTTATTATGAAAAATGAGGACTGTTCAAGTGACTTTCCTTGGATTCATGTTTTTTTGGGTAGGAATAAATGAATTTGGTCAAACGTTTTTTTCTGATAGCACGAAAGAGTTTACAGGTATCAAAGGCTGATATTGTATGTATAATTTACAATTTATATTGTAGGGTTTTGGTGAAGAGGATGTAGAAGCTGCTAATAAGAAAAAGGAAAAGAAAAAATCTAGTAAGATTTTAAATTCTCATATGCAGAACAAGATTCAATAGTTTGGGATGTTAATTTGTAATATGTATTTTAAAATTCCTTGCTTTTGAAAATTTGTTATGTGTTAATTGAACAATAATTAAGATTCATTGCATCGTTTGAATGTAGTTTTGATGTTATGAAGTTGTCACGTAACACAATTCTTTAAAAAATCACAGAAAAATTCTTACTGTAAAATCATATATTTTCGTGGGGTTCAAATTTTGTGGTTTTGCAATTGAAAGAATATTCATTAGCACTAGATTTAGTAGATAAATGTTAAAAGATTCAACAGTCAAAAACCATAACAATATGTTCACCATTTTAGTGATATATTAATTCTGAGATTAAAAGTGACCACAAATTCATTGCAGCAATTCTGTCTGATGATGAGGACGAAGGGGGAGAGCAAGTCACTGGAGCAGTGGACACAAATCAGGGTGCACAAGACAACTCTGATGATGAAGTAAATCGAGACAATGAGTATGTAAACATATGCTGTTGATCACTTGTATTTTTTTCTCAGACTCAGTTAATGACAAAATGACACTGACTGTTCACTGGGATATCTACCCGACACATAAACATTGTTCCTACTGTTTATAAGTTTGATCATATTTACTACAATTATACATTACCGGAAGGTAAAAATTAGGGTTGGATCAATATACCGATAAACCGATAATACATATTGTATCAGTTTTTTGTCGACAATACCCAGCCCTAGTAGAAATTGTTTCTAACTTTTAAAGAGTTTTGTCCCTTTTTGTTTGTTGGAACTGTACAGTTGAGTTCTTGCATTTTAGTTTCTGTAATTTGAACATATCCACATCTTTGTTTTGGAATGCTGTGTACTAAAATGATGATCCATGTCCTCTTACTAGTTTAATTCCCTTTTTAATGGCAATTCATTCACCCTGATACAAGACATTTGTCATTTCAACAGACACCATGTTGTTCTGTGTTGGACTTCCTCCCATCTATTGCTCCTTTAGAAAAAAAGTAACAAAATACATTTGGAATATTCTTAAACTCTATCAAACCTATATCTTTACATTTTTACAATTTTTTATCTCTGACATGTTACTTTAAGATTTTACTTCAGCTATTTTGACTTTTCAATATGAACTCTCCAGAGATGAATTTTGTCCTCTTGACAACTAAAAAAAAAGTACAAAAATGATTCTGATAAGTATTTATCTGTGATTTTGATTTTCTATGACATGAATTTTCTTAACTTTTCCTTCTCTAACTATCTATAAGCATTTTTATTCCCAAATTTGAGATGTAGGATAATTTGAAATAAATTTTTGCACAGAGATGATTTGCTGGAAAAGCAACAACTTGTATGATTTTAGGACTATTGGCCACTTTTTATGATTGGCTGCTAATTCTCTCCATTATCCATTGTAGTGGTGCAGGGTTTGTATCCGACTTTGAACTGATGATGATGAAAAAGAAAGAAGAAAACAGAAAGAACAGGAAGAAGAGGAAAGACTTTGACATAATTAATGATAACGATGATCTTATTGTGGACATGATAAAAAAGATGAAGGAAGCGGCAGAGGTAGGTGTACTGTAGCCCTATGTAATGTCAAACAAATGATATTTTTTTATCTTAATTTGTGCCTTATTAGTTAACTTTTAAAATTTTGGTATTTGATAGATTTAATGTTTACTTCAGATTTACTTTGTCAACTCACAGTATCTCGTTTTGTTTCCATGAAAGCAGAGCAAAATAAGACCTTTGTACATTTTTAAGATTTAATGTCACATTATAACAGCTTGATGAAATTTTTTTAATATATTTGGGAATTTTTAAAATTCAATCACAAATATGATAATTGTGGACATCAGTAGTTTATAATTATTTGTGATGTGATGTCTTTCAGGCTGACCGAGAGCTGAACACACAAAAGAAACCAGCCACGAGAAAACTCAAATATCTGAAGGATGTTAATTCTCAGTTAAAAAAGTAAGTAACTTGTAGAAGTACCTTAAACTGCATGGCATAGCAAAGTATAATTACCTCCCTTTATACAATGCCAAATAATAGCTTATAAGGTTTGTCTATATTTTCAAAACTCAAAGGTTATTGCAGTTTTAAGGTCAAAGGTTTAGGTCATTATTGCTTTGACATACAAGTTTAATTTCAGTTCAATTTCCATTCATTAAATTAAGCTTCATTGGGCAATTAAATTCAAATTTAAATCAGTGCATGTATTTTTGTATAGTTATTCTAGCTCATAATATCTGCATTATGATTGAGTATCCAACTGATTCCTGATACAAATTCCTTGCTTTGGAATGCTTTAAGAACCAAAGCTGATGCTCTGATCATTTTTTAAAAACCTGCTGTTACCACCAAAATAGCTCTGTTTCATAAATCAACCTCCTTTATTAAAAATCAGGGATATGTTTTCTTGTCGTGCTGTACCAACAGTGTAATGGTTACAATGTGTTGTTTTTCAGGTCAGATTTACACCTAGCATTCCTTGACTGTGGAGTGTTGGCTGCTATGACTGTAAGTATAGTTACAAGTTTATCAACTCATCTTAATAAAGAAAAGGGTTACTTGTCTTATCTTGGTGCCACATTGGTATCCATTGTCAATTTTGGTCGATTTTTTTCTACAAATTTTGAATAACACTTGTATTATATTATGTATCATGTGGAATTGAGTGTTAATATTTGGCATAGTGGCATCTGTTTAGAATCCTTAACAGCTGACATCAGTGGTATATTTTTCAGAAGAAAAAATAACACAGATTTTGATGTTTTTGATACGATACACCATGCCAGACATTTTTTTTTCTGATTGAAGTAATGAATGTAAAAAGCAAATATCAACATTTTAAAATGAGATACCTATTTTTACTTTTTTCAGGAATGGCTAGCCCCTCTACCAGATAAGAGTCTACCACATCTCCAGATCAGAGATACCTTTTTGAAACACCTGCAAGACGTAAGTGCTCAGATATAAGCCTTAGAGCATGTACCTTTTTCCAGGCCACTTATCCTTCAGCTTGTATTTAGTGGTGGCTGAAAGACCAAGGCCTAACAAGGTTTAACTGGAGGCGTATCTCTTGACTTCTTTTGTATATATGTAGTACTTTTCAAACAGTTGTAACCTTGGTAATTACTACCTGTAATATACCGCTCAGCTTCTCTTTGGCTGGATTGGTCGAGTGTCTGACTAGAGGTGTCAGATTTAAAACCTAGTGGAGGCATGATGACCTCTGTTGCATTGGTGCCCATGTAGGGAGTGATTCTTAGCATTGTCCTACAGACATTGCCTTAACTCCTGGAAACTCCAGTTTGAGTTATTTCATGGAGAGGGGGTATGTAACCCTGGTTAATATTGGCCACATTATACCACTTGACTAGAGAGCAATTCTCTTTAGCTTGACTAGTAAGCCAGATATGTCCAGGTTGAATCCTGACTGAGGAACTTGAAATAAATAATGACCTCTGTTAAACAGTTCCCATTTGAAGTAATTTGCCAGGGTGTATAGTTAAGGAAGTGCTACCATTCTTTAAAAAAAAGAAAGCATTTTTCTAACATACATTTAATCCTACCTTATAACTTTGTATAAATATATCCTTTATGTTCTAATTTACTTGCAGTTTCCTTCAGTGAGTAACGAGGGCCTGAAGGCCAGTGGTATTGGAAAAGCTGTGATGTATTTGTACAAACACCCACGAGAAACCAAGACAAATAAAGAACGCTGTGGCAAACTCATAAGTAAGACCTCTTGTATATATGGCAGTTTATAAAGCCACCCTCTTCACAAGATTTTTAATGTGGTTAAAATTATAAAGCTTAACATGTCTTTTATTTTAAATTTAGAGAGCTTTCAGTTATTCAACCAAATTACAAAGTATTCTATGCAGGGATAATCCTGGAAAATGTTAATGGATTATTAACCCATCAAAAATTCAATATTTCTATTTTCTTTCAATTTTTATATAGAAATTATATCAAATTTGATGATGTTGCCTTCAGTTCCCAGGATTTTCCGTGCCAATTTGTTTTTCTCATTACCCAGATGAGATTTAAAATATTTACTGTGTAAAGTTCAATGTATTGGACCAGTTTTCATGTCCTAAGTGTATTTCTAACACCTAATATACTTATTTATCATTCAGATGATTGGTCACGTCCTATTTTCAATCTCACTTCCAACTATAAGATGTTATCTAAAGAGGAACGGGAGCAGAGAGATTATGAACAGTTGCCAAAGAGAAGAAGATTAAGGTACAATCCAAATGAAACCTGTCCAACTGTACAGATACTCTGAAATCCCTGCTTTTGCTCTGTTCCTATAATTCTCATATATTTTTGAAGATTTAGAATTTCTTATGAATTTGAGAATGAATTCATTTGCAAATTAAGATGATATTTACTACGTTTTCAACAGCCTTTAACAAAAACATCAAGAAAATATCACCATGAGAACATAATCTTAACTCGAAGTCACTAAAACTAGGGCAAAAAATTAAAAGAAAGATTTACATGGAGATTCCTGAGGAGTACAAGGAGAATAAGACCAGGTTTTCTGGAAGAGTAGGTGTCTTCTGTCTCATCTGCGGCACCTGCCATGTAAATTTTGGTCAATCCAAGTAAGAAATGTCATGTTCTCAAATGTGAACAAGAAATGCAACAATGTAACCAATAGACAAAGTCTCAAGCATCAAACATGTTCAACATTTTATGGTACAAAGAATTAGAATATTTCTCCATGAGATCATTATGGCGACCATGAACCATGAAACTTCTCTATAATTTTCAACAACCTGCAGCCTTTAAACTGGCATTTACATCTCTCCAGCTCTACATCATTATTTTCCAAATTTATATGTAAAAGTGTTTCACACTCAAAAGTATATGCATGCCATGAGGCATGAGAATTGCACAGAAAACCCAAGGATTATATCTAAACACTGTCTCTATTCATCAACACTTGAACATTTAGAGGTCATGTGACTCTCACCAGCTGCTGTACTGATGACACAGCATTTCCCCAAGCAAGTGTTGAGGTCTAGTTTTAATAAAACATGACAATCTGTCATTATGTAAGCATTCTTGTTTTATAGAAAACTAAAACATTGTAAAAATAAAATGAAAGAAGCAGATTAAATGAAATAGTTACGTAATAGTAAGAGAGAATTTGAAATGTTCTATAAGCTATTTACATGTGGCATTGTGATCCAAAGTTTGTTTTGAGGTATTTAAGAAATGGTGTATTGTAGAACTGTTAATTTTTGTGTTTTTTTTTTTTATTTTCGTTGAATTCATGAGTACTCCTAATCCACGTACTCTTATATCAAGGAATTGTTAAAATTAGTAGACATAGATCTTTTGAATTATAGGTAATCACGAAATCAAGTATCTATGAAATAAATCAAGCCTTACAGAAATACATTACTTTACAGTAGAACTCTCAGGTTCTTATAATCAGTAGTTTTTCAAAAGCTATTAAATGGTGCACGTTTCAATACAAATGTATTTCAACATTTCTAGTTAGGTTATCTTGAGTGAAAACAGTTGATGTTATATGGCATCCTATATTTTATCTGATGTATGGGTAGTCACTGTTTTCGTTTTATAAAAATAACATATTATGTTCACAGTACGGAGGGAATGACGCCTAGGAGAGACATAGACAACGCCTTAGCTGGAGATCAACAGTAAGTCTCATCTCCTTCAGATTTCTCTTTCAAGTCTGGTTATGTTGAATGGTAATACAGATTATCTGTTCAGATTTAAAGTTGTATGCTATTCTTTACCAACATCAAATAAAGTAACTTAAGGCTCAGTCGAGTTTTGGAATAGATATGAAGTATGACCTGTTTATTTTATTTGTTCTTGTTATCTTCAGTCTGAATACAGTAAATAATGTTTTAAAACTTTGATAAATGTAGCAATACAATCTTTGTGTTCAGTTAGGAATGCTGTTAAAATTGATGAAAAAAAAAAATGTTGTTCATAGTAAATAAGATTAAAGCCTGTTTCATAAATCAGTAAAATTGTTAATCGTATATAGAATCTATAGTCTGTTTCATAAATCAGTTAAATTGTTGTTAATAGTACATACAACTATAGCCTGTTTCATAGATCAGTTAAGTGTTCCTTGATTTGTTTTATTTTGATGAGTCACTGCTTGGTTACTCTCGGGTAAAGGTCATTAGTATGCTTGAATTCAATAACTGAGTCACCTATATATGAAACCAAACAAGCTTTTAAATAACTGTGATCTGCCTTCAAATTATTTGGAAACAGGAGTATGAGACACTTATTCAACGTTGAAGTAACTTGACTTTTTTTCATCACATTATTCATTTGGAATGGAAATGAATTGAGAAAGTTTTAGGAACATTTTTGATAAAAACTATATGTGAGAAAAAGAATCTATTACCAAGCAACAAATTGTTGTTTTTCTTACCTAATATTACCTTCAATACACTTTTGATGTGTGATCCACGTTTGGGTGTCAGATGAATGTTTCCAGACATGTAGTAAAATGATGTGTGGTGGATCATTAAATCATTATCACATTCATTGGTTGTAGCAGACAGATCATACTATACATTTAGTAATTTCAGAGAGCTTTATTTTCCACCTTTTTTTGAGGGTAGAGTGAAATCACTAACAACAGAAAACATGTCAATTGTTCAAAGTTTTGCAATTTTGAAATGAAAGAAAAAATATCCATTCGAAAATCCTGTGAAAGAAAAAAATTTATTCAATGATTTTATCAACTTGCAATATTTTGAACGTTTGAAAAACTTTATGAAAAAATTTACGGAAATAATAATTATTTTGTAATGTTTCAGGGCCCTGCGTCCAGGTGATAAAGGCTGGATTATGAGAGCAAGGGTTCCAATGCCCTCTAATAAAGATTATGTTGTGAGACCTAAATGGAAGGTCGAAGAGATGGTCAAAGTAAGTTGTGTATTTCTTGTCAATTGTGTGATGCTGAAAATTTGCCTTTAATAATGTCTTTTTTTCTTTTGCAATGAAATGAAATTAAAACTTTTCCATCTTTGGAATGTTTGGCCAATTTTCTGAAAAAGTGTTATGGAAAGCAGATTGTTTGGTTGTTCAACCTAAGGACATATATCTCAAAGCAGAATAAAGTTTATCCAAATTCCGATGAAAAAAAAACTTTTTTTCTTTAGGGAGGTGTAATTTCAGAATTAGCAAGAACATTAACAAATTCAAATTTCCTTAAGTTATGTTAACACTTAGACTAATTGAATAGACTAAGAACATTATTGTTTAATATTGGGACAGGCAACAAACTGCTTTTAGTCTGAGGTTGGAATCATGAAGGAAATCAGTTTTCAAAAAAATACTTAAAACATGATCGACAGATAAGTCCGAGAGATCAAATTTTTTTTTTTAATTGATTAGGACATATTTATTAAGGCTTGGACCTTTTAAGGGTATTTTTTTTTTTTTTTGCAAGTTTGATCGTGTCTTGATACACTCCATGCAGTTTGTATGTTGATTAGTGTGTTTGTTTATAAAGTCATCAACTTTAAAAAAAAAAAGGTCAGAAAATTTCTTCTTGAAATATATTATTTTGTATTTTGCTGTTTTTCGGGAGATTCTTACTGTGGTAGAACTAACTGTAATTACATGATTTGATTCTTTTTTTTAAACAGTCATCCAGAAAGAAAGATATTACAAGATATGAAAAACATGCAAGGTCATTTGCTGAAAAGAAGAAGATTGGAAAAGGCCAGCGTGCAGTGACAATAAGCATTGAAGGGAGAAAAATGGCTTTATGAGAGAGTGTTCATCATTCAGTTGTCAGAGACGAGATTGTAAAAGAAAGTGTGAGTCTTTGAGTGGAGAAAGATCGGATGTGTTTATCATTATGTGGGCAAAAATGGATTGATGAAAGAAAGTGTGAATCATTGAATGGAGAAAGAATGGAGAATGTGTTAATCTATCATTAAGTGGGCAGGGAGAAAGAGAGTGTGAATCACAGGATGGAGAAAACGTGTTTATCATTAAGTTGAGAAACTTCTGAGAAGATTTGATTGTGGAGAGAGAGATAAATCATACGCCGAGAAAATGTGTTTATTATTCAGTGTAGAAAGACAGTATTACTAGAGACTGTTAATTGTAGAGGAAAAAATAAGTGTTATTTGAGGTTTGATAAAGAAATTTTGTAACCTGTTGGTTTGATGTTGTATCATAACCATTTCTTAGGTAATTATGTACAGACAAGTCCGGATTAGTAGCTGTTCAATTGCTATCCTATTCATCCGACTGTAAGATTGTGTGTGGTAGCAGACACAGACATGTTTATTACGTTTCTGCTTGATTACCAATAAAAGTTCTCCGAAGGTCTTTTAATTAGCCGACCCATGGACTTTGACCCAGAGCTAGTGTGTTACCCCTTGGTATCTATCAATATCGGATAGACATGGTATAACACCGTTGTTTAAGCAATAAAAAACATACGACACTGAAATCAGATTCACTAATTATAGTAAAACTATTACATTTTTTCTTCATCATTTAGATTTTTTCTGTTCATCTTTTATACGTTATATGTCAGAGAGCTGTTTTTTGAAGCTGCTTGTTTCAAGATCTTTTGATATGTTTGATGAAGTAAATATGGGAAGTGCTTACCATAGTTTTATCTTGTTATTAGGAGCGTTTATAGTAAAATCACTGTGGTAAAATTTTCATGCTTTTGTTCCGCCATAAATGATTCCAGCCAAGCCAAAAGTCAGGTACAAAATCAGAATTATGCTTTTTGTAGGTACTGGTTATCTAACAAATTTATTTTTTTATCCTTATTTCACCATTAATGACTCATTGCTAGATATGTAATCTCCCCACCATAGAAAACATGCTATGTTACATGGTTAAATCCTTGATACACCATTAAAATCCTTGATACAACATTCATGACTCATTGCTACAGTACATGGTTAAATCCTTGATACACCATTAATGACTCATTGCTACAGTACATGGTTAAATCCTTGATCCACCATTAACAACTCATTGCTACAGTACATGGTTAAATCCTTGATCCACCATTAACAACTCATTGCTACAGTACATGGTTAAATCCTTGATGCACCATTAACGACTCATTGCTACAGTACATGGTTAAATCCTTGATGCACCATTAACGACTCATAGCTACAGTACATGGTTAAATCCTTGATACACCATTAACGACTCATAGCTACAGTACATGGTTAAATCCTTGATGCACCATTAACGACTCATTGCTACAGTACATGGTTAAATCCTTGATACACCATTAACGACTCATTGCTTCAGTACATGGTTAAATCCTTGATGCACCATTAACGACTCATTGCTTCAGTACATGGTTACATTTTTATTCCTGATTAAATCAAGAAAACACCAGTAGTTGGCTTCCATGCTATATAAGGTATTGGTGTTTATTGTGACCAGAATTCAAGAAATTGAAAGTTTTGTTTCTTTATCAAGACAAATTGTGATGGATCTGTTGTATTACTCTGTTATCTTATATGATTAAAAAAAGTCAGTTTCACTTAGTTTAAACAATATCTTAGTTACGATATTCAACAATATTACATGCTACATATTGGGCACAAAAACAAGCTTCAAGCTTATTTCATTCCTGCATACCATATTTTTAGCAACCACTGAATTGATTGTAATGAAACGTTCAAAATGTATTGATATGAGTGAGGAGATATGTAAAATGTTTTGGCTAAATTAAAATTCCTACATGTGGAGGATCATATTATGTAGTCTTGAGGCTTAAACCTGAAGTTTTATTTCAAACAGTAATGTTTTTATTTTAAACATTTATTATTATTGATACATAAGATAATGTTAACCAGCTGAGGAACACCATTTTTTTACTTGCATGTTTGAGTGTCTGGATTATGTTATTTAGTGTTCAGAAATTAAAGTTAATCTCATGAGAATTTTAACTCTAGGTCCAACATGTTATATAGACTTGGATATGTACTTAAATAACTTTTTTACAACTTTAAAAAAGACTCCCAATTTACATCAGTGTAGTTCTTTTGTTAGGGCTACTCCAGTAAATTATGGTCAATTTGACAAGGACGCAAAAATAAATTACTTCTATCCATGATTTGGTTTTCTGACTGTTATTTCTCAGCAAATTATCAATTAAATTCAATGGCTGGTACCCTTAACAAAAATCCTGCTGTGGGAAAGATGTTTTACAGGAATAGCCCCAAAGAAAACCTGGGGTTTTTGGTTGGGATAGATGTTTTAGTGGAATAGCCCTAAAGAAAACAAAACCTAGGGTTTTGGCGTAAGACAGATGTTTTGCTGGAGTAGCCCTAAACAAAACCTGGAGAGGGACGTTTTACTGGAAACGCCCTAAACAAAACCTGGAGAGGGACGTTTTACTGGAAACGCCCTAAACAAAACCTGGAGAGGGACGTTTTACTGGAAACGCCCTAAACAAAACCTGGAGAGGGACGTTTTACTGGAAACGCCCTAAACAAAATCTGGAGAGGGATGTTTTACTGGAAAAGCCCTAAACAAAATCTGGAGAGGGATGTTTTACTGGAAAAGCCCGAAACAAAACCTGGAGAGGGACATTTTACTGGAATAGCCTATAACAAAACCAAAGAGGGACGTTTTACTGGAAACGCCCAAAACAAAACCTAGAGACATTGTGGTATTTGATGTTAAGTATCAATTAACAAGGATTTTTGTTCTACCTGGCATGTGTTTGTAATTCATTTGGAACCTCATTCACAGTTGAGTATGAAAAAAACCTATGATTTGATGTGAGGCATTTGAAAAAAATTATGAAAACCTTATGTTAATCCTTGTAATTAAAGATAGTTTTGGGATGGAATTTTGATGACTCTTTGTAAACAATGATTTCTGTCCTAAAATGATCGTATTTCGACAGTTATACTTTGCAGAAGAAAAATTTGAAAAAAGTGACTTATCATTCAACTGCTTTTTTCCAGACTGTTTCATGGATGGCTTGCCGAGTTAAAAACCTTAAAAAGCTTGTTTTTTTGTGGTACTGGATGGACACATTTCATCACAACTGTATACATGCTGAACACATTTTAATAAAAATATTAATAAGAAAGTTATGTGTACCGATGTGTGTTGTTTACACAGTCTACAAGAGAACCTTAAAATAATTTCCAAATCGGGGAATTGTTTAACACATGCTGGTTTTAGTAAATCACATCCATACTTAAACTAGGTCAAAATTTGCCACCCTTTGCTCTATATGGAACATTACTATACATTTGGCAATGTTAGCCTTCCCATGGTCAAAATTTTGAATATCTACAATATAACAAGATGTCCAGAGAGTTTGAATCGCTTGCCTGGATTGGATTGTTCAAAATGCTTTGTTTAGACTCACTTTAGAGTACACAATCAAGAGTGTACTTTTCAAGATGGCAGCAGTGTCACACTGACAGGAATAGATGTCTGATTCAAAGTGAACTTTCGCTGAAATGCCATTACCGTTTTGTGCTATCACATTTATTAGTCTCCTACTGGTGAAACTGTGGAGGATGGGCGGTTATAGTTTTTCTCTCCCTCCGTTTGTCCCAGCGTCTGTGGAAGTATTTTAGGGCTCTCGCAGCTTCCTACCTTTATGATTGTCATCAAACATCACACACTTAAAAAGGATCAAATCATCTTGGGCGAAATCGAGTTTCGAGTTGTTGGGTCAAGGTCACTAATACTATTTCTAGAAACTTGTTTTCTGCGCTTTAGTAGTTTCCTCCCTAGATAGATTTTCATCAAACTAGTAATGGTATGTTGAAATGCCGAGGACGAATTAGAAATTTTGGGTCGTTGGGTCAAGAAAAAATATTGCTAGTGCTCTAGCTGCTTCATTCCATGGTGGATTTTCATCAGACTTCACACACTAAGCAACAAAATATCATTGGACAAGTTTAAGTTTCAGGGTTGTTTGGTCATCGTCAAGGTCATTGTTGCTATTTATAGAAAATAGTTGTCAGCCCTCTAGTGGTTTGCTTTCTTGAAAGATTCTCATTAAACTTCGCACACTCTTATAAAATATAAAATTATCATGGAAAAGTTAAGGTTTCAATGAGAATTGTGCCAAACTTCAGTTGAGATCGGCAAATACTGTATGGAATGATATCAGCTGTTCATCACGTGTTATACAGACTGTGTCTTCTAAATTCGTTTCCATGGCAATATTCTAAATTTATTTTTTGGATATGCAATAAGCAGAACTGAACAAAAATGTGTTTAAAAAAATCCCACTTCTCGGGCTTTAATGTTCCTTCAATATCTTTAAATAAGTACAAGAAAAATGCCAAAATTCAATGCTTTCATTGGTACACACTTCTACTGTAAATAGATTCCTCTTTAGTCTGGGAAACTGTTTAGTGTCGGCCACTTTCGCACAAGGCCCTTAGTCTCTGCTTTTACAACTGAATTCAGACGACCATCATACATGCCGAAAACACCACCTGAAATAGAACATGGTCTAGATTACTCACACTGATAGAATGGATACAGGTGCGTGATCCTCATAACAAATTATATTTGTTTTAATTAATTACTTATTAGTGTACTTAATCGAATGCAATAAAATTTTAGCATTTTAGCACTTTATGGCAACAAAGTGCAGTAATTAATTTGTGTATCTAAAATGCAATAAAAAAAAAAATTAAAAACTGCAATTTACAAAAATAACTATTTAAGATTATCACTCAAATACATTTACATTCGTAAGTTTACAGTATCATGACTTCTTAAACATAAGTAGTGGAGACCAATCTCAACTTGTAAATTATAGAAAAGATTGACTTCAAATCAATTAACAAAAACTATCATTAACTCTTAATACTGTATTAATTTAACATGTTATGGCCATTTCACTGTAGAAATTTATTACTATATACATTGTGAATTTTTGATAAATTTTATCTTGTTTGCTCAGTAGCCATTTATCCTGGCAAAAAGATGGCCAGACAGCATCACCTTTTATCTCATTGAATTGACAGCTAAATAACACATCAGAATTTCACGATTTCCTTATTATAGCATGTCTGCACTGACTAACTTTCACAATTATTTTTTACCATACAATCATACAATCAATGTTGTTTAATATTTCTATGACTTTGTGACATTGCAAAAAAAAATTTGTTTACTGTATTCAGAAGTTTTTAAAAAACAAATTTACCAAATGACCTTGAGATTATGACATTTTTGTATAGGTGAGTTAAAACAAACCTTTAGAATGAGACCACAGCAGGTGTCTATACAAACCTGTATGTATGAACAGTATCCGATTTCCCTGGAATCTGTCAGGATTATTGCAAAGTTCTTCCACAAGGCCCCGTGCAGCCTTCCCCGAGTACACCGGGTCCAACATAATTCCTGTTTGCTGACTCACCTTCATGATGAATTCTGCAGGAGAAGTTATGGAGAGACATGTGAAGTTCTGGTCTGATTGGCATAAGTATGTTATGACTTTTGAACCTTCTTACCCACTGTCAATTATAACACCTGAGAGTGTGACAGATTAATAATTTTTCATGTGTTATTTTAGAGCCAGTAAAACTGTTTAAAATTACACATCTACACAAAAAATATTCACAAAACTAATTTCTGAGAATGGCATAATCAGCAGAGTTCATGCTCAAATGGTCTTACCTAGTTCATCTTCTGTAGACAGGCCGTACCCGCGACCTTTGTGACCTTCAATGATGTCCAGTATATCTTGACAATGGACAGTGTCCAGACCGACATCACATAAGGTCTGGTTTATGTGGTCAGTGAAGTAGGCTTTGTCATCACAAACAATGATTGCATGGCATCTTTTTCAATGTAGAGCAAACCAATGAATCAGAGCAAGAAAAAAAAAGAGTAAAACTTCATTATCTCTACCCTTATAAAACAGAATCAGTGAAACTGATAAATGCTCCTTGAAAAACAAATTTATTGGATAAAAAATTTTTACACAGAGCAATAATTATGTATCTAAGGGTTGCAGTCCCTGAATTTGATATAATGTACATTCTCATAGTATGAACAATGTATACACAAAATTTCATGATCCTAATATAGATACAAGGAAAGTTATGCCCCGGATATGAAATTTAACAAAGGGTAGTAACTCTGTAATTAAAGTGATGATGGCCCTGAATTTGATATATTGCACATCTCCTTAGTATGACCAATGTATACACCAAGTTTCATGATCCTTGCTTAACTGTGGGCAAAGTTATGTTCCAGACAAGAAAGGATGGATGGAAAGACAGACGAACAAGGTGGCGACTATGTGTTACCAAAAACTTTTTTCAGGGTGAATAATAATTATCCAAAAATATTATGATCCTTGATGGAGAGTTTTATCTAATTTTATTTCTGAATCACCTCTCTTTATAACACATGGGTAAATAATGCAACAAACATCCATATGAGAAGGAAAATTCAAACTTCAAATAATTTCCAATCACACCAAAAAAAACTAACCTTACACAAATTTTTGGACATTGTATATTATATGTCATGACAGAAATCTGACTAGTATGCTCTCTCCCTCAGGGAAGGTGGGGACCTGAGACCATGAAATTCAAAGTTTACATCAAGAAACTTAAGACTTTCAAATACCATCTAAGAAATGTATGTGAACAAGAGACCCATAGGCCCTGTAGACTTCAGTTTGTTTGTTTAGTTTGCTGAAATTTCTTCACCTAAACTAGATGAAAGGCATTTAAAAGATTTATATCTTTTTTCTATTATTGGTCCTGATCCTCAAGCCCAATATGATTCAGAACCAACATTTATTCAAAACTGTTTTTTTCTTTATCCAAGATTGCTTCAGAACCACAGAATTTTATTTGGACAAAATTCAGTCAGTAATTCATGACTAGTAGCGATTTGTAGGAGCAATTTTAAAGGAAAACCTGCACTTGAAAGAGAACCTACACTTTGAAGACAAACTTACACTTGAAGGAGAACCTAAACATATTGGAGAATCTACACTTGACACCTGAAGGAGAACCTAAATTTAAACATTAACCTACACTTGAAGGAGAGCCTTTACTTGGAGGCTCAGAGATCTAGCTGTAGTTTCTGATGAAGGGAACTGAACTTGGTAAGAACAAACAGTTTGACTTCCCTGAGGTCATTTATTGGGTTGGGCTCAATACTGAAGAAAACTTACTTGATGTGAGAACCTGTGAGGTGGTTACTGATAGCAAGTCCAGCTGCCGTACCACCAGATCCACAGGCAAAAACAACATCATCAAACTGGTCGAACAGCCCCTAAAATTACAAACTAGATCATCATTTTGGTCAAAAATGGCCCTAAAACATTTCAAAGTGATGGAAGTATAACAACGTAACAAAGTCTTACACTGTTACTGGAGAAGTTAGTGGCAGTATAACAAAAACCATAGGACAAGCTGTCCGAAACTAAACCCACTGGATAACACTGACTGACAAAAACACTATAGTCCCAAAGTCATAATGCATGTTTCAATTTGTGCTTGTAAACATGAGGGCATGTTAATTTATACATGTATTGTCATTCAGTATTAACTTATCTGATGAGGTCAGTGATAGTACACAATATTATACAGGATATCCTGATGAGGTCAGTGATAGTACACTATATTATACAGGATATCCTAATGAGGTCAGTGATAGTACACTATATTGTACAGGATATCCCCATGAGGTCAGTGATAGTACACTATATTATACAGGATATCCCCATGAGGTCAGTGATAGTACACTATATTATACAGGATATCCCCATGAGGTCAGTGATAGTACACTATATTATACAGGATATCCCCATGAGGTCAGTGATAGTACACTATATTATACAGGATATCCTAATGAGGTCAGTGATAGTACACTATATTGTACAGGATATCCCCATGAGGTCAGTGACAGTACACAATATTATACAGGATATCCCCATGAGGTCAGTGATAGTACACTATATTATACAGGATATCCTGATGAGGTCAGTGATAGTACACAATATTATACAGGATATCCTGATGAGGTCAGTGATAGTACACAATATTATACAGGATATCCTGATGAGGTCAGTGATAGTACACTATATTATAGAGGATATCCTGATGAGGTCAGTGATAGTACACTATATTATACAGGATATCCTGATGAGGTCAGTGATAGTACACTATATTATAGAGGATATCCTGATGAGGTCAGTGATAGTACACAATATTATACAGGATATCCCCATGAGGTCAGTGATAGTACACTATATTATACAGGATATCCTGATGAGGTCAGTGATAGTACACTATATTATACAGGATATCCTGATGAGGTCAGTGATAGTACACTATATTATACAGGATATCCTGATGAGGTCAGTGATAGTACACTATATTATACAGGATATCCTGATGAGGTCAGTGATAGTACACTATATTATACAGGATATCCTAATGAGGTCAGTGATAGTACACTATATTGTACAGGATATCCCCATGAGGTCAGTGATAGTACACAATATTATACAGGATATCCCCATGAGGTCAGTGATAGTACACAATATTATACAGGATATCCTGATGAGGTCAGTGATAGTACACTATATTATACAGGATATCCTGATGAGGTCAGTGATAGTACACTATATTATACAGGATATCCCCATGAGGTCAGTGATAGTACACTATATTATACAGGATATCCTGATGAGGTCAGTGATAGTACACTATATTATACAGGATATCCCCATGAGGTCAGTGATAGTACACTATATTGTACAGGATATCCCCATGAGGTCAGTGATAGTACACTATATTATACAGGATATCCCCATGAGGTCAGTGATAATACACTATATTATACAGGATATCCTAATGAGGTCAGTGATAGTACACTATATTATACAGGATATCCTAATGAGGTCAGTGATAGTACACTATATTATACAGGATATCCTGATGAGGTCAGTGATAGTACACAATATTATACAGGATATCCTGATGAGGTCAGTGACAGTACACAATATTATACAGGATATCCCCATGAGGTCAGTGATAGTACACTATATTATACAGGATATCCCCATGAGGTCAGTGATAGTACACTATATTATACAGGATATCCCCATGAGGTCAGTGATAGTACACTATATTATACAGGATATCCTGATGAGGTCAGTGATAGTACACTATATTATACAGGATATCCCCATGAGGTCAGTGATAGTACACTATATTATACAGGATATCCTAATGAGGTCAGTGATAGTACACTATATTATACAGGATATCCTGATGAGGTCAGTGATAGTACACTATATTATACAGGATATCCTGATGAGGTCAGTGACAGTACACAATATTATACAGGATATCCCCATGAGGTCAGTGATAGTACACTATATTATAGAGGATATCCCCAAGAGGTCAGTGATAGTACACAATATTATACAGGATATCCCCATGAGGTCAGTGATAGTACACTATATTATACAGGATATCCTGATGAGGTCAGTGATAGTACACAATATTATACAGGATATCCTAATGAGGTCAGTGATAGTACACTATATTATACAGGATATCCTGATGAGGTCAGTGATAGTACACTATATTATACAGGATATCCTAATGAGGTCAGTGATAGTACACTATATTATACAGGATATCCTAATGAGGTCAGTGATAGTACACTATATTATACAGGATATCCCCATGAGGTCAGTGATAGTACACTATATTGTACAGGATATCCCCATGAGGTCAGTGATAGTACACTATATTATACAGGATATCCCCATGAGGTCAGTGATAGTACACAATATTATACAGGATATCCCGATGAGGTCAGTGATAGTACACAATATTATACAGGATATCCCGATGAGGTCAGTGATAGTACACAATATTATACAGGATATCCTGATGAGGTCAGTGATAGTACACAATATTATACAGGATATCCTGATGAGGTCAGTGATAGTACACAATATTATACAGGATATCCTGATGAGGTCAGTGATAGTACACAATATTATACAGGATATCCTGATGAGGTCAGTGATAGTACACAATATTATACAGGATATCCTGATGAGGTCAGTGATAGTACACAATATTATACAGGATATCCTGATGAGGTCAGTGATAGTACACAATATTATACAGGATATCCTGATGAGTGATAGTACACCATATTATACAGGATATCCTGATGAGGTCAGTGATGGTACACAATAGTATACAGGATATCTTGATGAGGTTAGTGATAGTACACAATATTATACAGGATATCCTGATGAGGTCAGTGATAGTACACTATATTATACAGGATATCCTGATGAGGTCAGTGATAGTACACTATATTATACAGGATATCCTGATGAGGTCAGTGATAGTACACTATATTATACAGGATATCCCCATGAGGTCAGTGATAGTACACAATATTATACAGGATATCCTGATGAGGTCAGTGATAGTACACAATATTATACAGGATATCCTGATGAGTGATAGTACACCATATTATACAGGATATCCTGATGAGGTCAGTGATGGTACACAATAGTATACAGGATATCTTGATGAGGTTAGTGATAGTACACAATATTATACAGGATATCCTGATGAGGTCAGTGATAGTACACTATATTATACAGGATATCCTGATGAGGTCAGTGATAGTACACTATATTATACAGGATATCCTGATGAGGTCAGTGATAGTACACTATATTATACAGGATATCCCCATGAGGTCAGTGATAGTACACAATATTATACAGGATATCCTGATGAGGTCAGTGATAGTACACAATATTATACAGGATATACACCAAACCTGCTGTTGCTTGGATGACAGAAAAGACTTCGGGTTGATTTTATGTATAGGGTAGTTGGGACGATAAAAAAATCTACCATAGAAGGGAGACAACTCAGTTAACTTTTTAAAGCTGTTAACCATTAGAAATTTTCCCCAAGGTATGCATCGTTATTCCATTTTTCTTTTCTACACTAAACTATACTATACTTTTCTACTTGACATGCTTGGTACCTAATGGTTTATTGGTATATAAAAAGTTGATGTGTTTAATAGTTTTGTGTAATGCTCTGTAATTAAACCTAGAGTCACACTACCAGAAAATCTATCAGTTTTGGCATGACATTATCATACCTCTGAAGTACCTGAGAAATCATTTCCTCAAAAACGGTAATGTATCCAAACAAACCGACAGAGTTGGATCCCCCGACTGGCACCAAGTATACATCCTCGCCCGTCTTCTCCCTGCAGTTACAGAGAAAAAACATACTGGTGACCGTTGTGTAAATGGTATACGTTTATCTCTTGCTGTCTTAAACAACCACATGCCATATTGTAGTGATAGAAAATAAACATGAAGTCAAAATGATTAAATGGAAAAACTGACAAGGGTCAGGGAAAACAGCTGTTGAGGTGTTTGAGAATTTTTTTCAATAAAAGTCCGTAAAATATTTCTATGAAAACAAAATGTCTAAAGACATTTGCCATTTTAATGAAAATTCTGTGTCAAACAACTTGGTGACAATGTAACTTTTACTCATTGTATGACAGAAAGAAATTAAATGTGCACATTTAACTTTTAAAATTCACTTCTTAGATTCAAAGGCAATTGAAATCATCAAACAGTATAAAAGGAATTATACTTGAGAATATTTGCCAACTTCTCCATGCGTGGTTTCAGTTCAGTTTCATAAGGACACTTCTTAGGGACCACATAGATCTCGGCACTGCACAGTCGATCCAAGAAAAGGTTCCCTTCAACGCCTATCTCTGCTGGATCCTACAGATCAATATTCTGCATTCAAACAACTCATTTCTCTTACGTAAATGGCTGGTGAAATAGACATTTTTCTAAAACTAAAGTGAAATTATTTCATTTAGCATTTACAATGAAGTTTGTTTCGTGTGGTGATGAGTGGAGATGAAGAAGTCCAGATGCTGTTCAGGTTGTGGTAGGTTGATTGAGATGTAGGCTATGGAGAGATGGAACACTCACGTGCCTTCAGGAACCGATACCTACTGGCTAGAAATGTGAACGTATTTATACTAAAATTGTTAATAAACTGATAAAGTATTATTACACATTAGCTAACAGGTTAACAAAGATTGAATAATATATGAGTTATTGACATTGTCTTATAAACATAAATTCACTTTGGTTGTTGTCCACAAGAAAAGGTTACACTAACCTTTATACAGACTGCTTTGATAGGATTCATGTAATTACTTACATAACTTAATACATGAACATGTGTAGTAGATCCGTAAGGACAGAATACCTCTGGCCACTGGTCAATACATAATTGTTCACAGTAGATGTCAGTAGTAAATTAATTCTGGCAGCTACATTGTGATGAAACATCTACATTAACTAATGATTAGTAAAATATTCAAATTGTCGTTATTGGAAGAACAAAAGCGTTACAGGCAAAATTATCAATCTGACTTAATTAACTTAGTTAAAATCAGGGGATTGGCTTATCACAGGACCCCAGGGGACAACATGTAACTAATTAATTAAAATTAGGGGATGGGCTTATATCAGGACCCCAGAGGACAACAAGTAACTGAATTAAAATCAGGGGATGGGCTTATCACAGGACCAAATGGGACAATACATAACTTCTTAATTAAAATCAGGGGATGGGCTTATTACAAGACCTCAGGGTGACAACAGAACTTCTTATTCAAAGTAAGGTGTTGGGCTTATTGTTGGGCCCCAGTGTGACAACATATTACTTCTTATGCACAATCAGGGTGTGGATGTTTTGCAGGACTCCAGAGGGACAACATGAAACTTCTTTATTAAAGTCAGGGAGTGAACTTAACACAGGACCTCATACCTGTGTATCTGTCCGTAACAGCAGGTGTGGATGCAGATGTAATTGTCGCGCTGCCACTGCTGTCGCTCTACAATGATTCGATTGTACGCCTCCACATGTGATCACATGACCACATTTTCTCGCAACAGCATCTGCCATCAAAAATTCTAACTTCCGCACCTTAAAAGAATAATTCTTCTCTTAATTTCAGCAGTAAGGATTTGGTTTTTAATATTTTCTCTTCTTCCTTTTTTGATAATTATAGTCTAAGGAAATTTCACAGAGCAAAGCTAATTTGTAATGTTCAAATTCTTTTTCATTCCAATAATTTAGATACTGTATTTGAAATCACACAGAGCCTTCTAAGCCTTCAGTATTTCTGTCACCAATATTTGATATGTAAACTGAAGTTCTCAGATAAGAAACAAGTACACTTTCACTGTTAATATTTTTGTTATTTATGATATTAGTGATAAAATATATCAACAGCTTCTTGTTCCAAATATTTCTGGTTTGACTGCAGTGTGTTCCCTTAGTTGACCAATCCAGTTTTGTTGGTACAAACTAAATGGAACACTCTGCTAGTCTTTATTGTTAAATATCCTGGACATTTCTAGTTAAACATAATTTGTACTTTATTGCCAGATAGCGTGCTTCCTGTCATGTCATCCCTTTTTATGGAAACTTCAAACTTCGATGGAACACCAGGCAAACTCCATTTATGAATTGGAGTTCCAGGATTGGCAAGCTGAAAAAAAAATAAGTAATTACTACACTGCTGTATACCATACAATATCAATGATTCCTCTAGACATCTTAAAACCAATATATCCTCCACTAAAAATCAGCTGTAATAATTCAGAAATGTTACATGCCTCTTCCTCTGGCCATTCTTACAAGTTGAGTTAACTTGCCATCAGCACTCATTTGATTCTGTCCTGCTTCAACCAATTGAGTTAACTTGCTATGATAAATCACTTGACTCAGTCCTGCAAAATCAACTGAGTTAACATACCATCAAAACTCATTTGACTCTGTCCAACTACAACCTATTTAGTAACTTACCACCAGAACTTGCTTGACTCAGTCCTGCTAATAAACAATTGAGTTAACTTGTGATGAGTTAACAACATCAAAACTCATTTGACTCTGTCCAACTACAACCTATTTAGTAAAACCAATTGACTAATAAACAATCGAGTTAACTTGCCATGAGAACTCACTTGACTAATCCCGTTATAGCCAATTGAAATTAAAAAGACTTACCACCAGCACTCACTTGACTCAATGCAATTAAATCAATTGATTTAGATGTAAAGGAAAGATTAATGAAAAACACCCTGCCTTCTGCTCGACTAAAGAGAAATTCCCACTAGTCAAGGCTGGTAAGGCAACCTGTACTCTCTACTTCATCATCATCAATAATAATAATAATAATAAATCTATTGACCATTCAAACATATTGTTACTCTAGACAGATATATTACAAGGAAAGATACAGGTATATTTTCACAGTGTACAAAATGTTTATGCACAACAAGTAGTCAAGTAGCTCAAGTTCTAAGAAAGTTATATATGTTTAAATAATACTAATAAGCTGGACAGGTCAAATTGATCCTTTGTTCGACCACAATAATAATAAACTGTACATTAAAACAAACCAACAAAATAACACGACAACTGCACTTAACCACGTACTTGTCTATATGCAGGCTACTTAATGTATATTACTTAATCAATTTCTACTATCAGTTAATGACCTGTATATTTCAACATAGTGAAGATGATGTCACTTGTGTATAGCGTTAAGAAAGGATGGGAACCGAATTTAAATCCGGTGAGAACGGAGATAGCTTATTTGAAGGAAAGTAAAGATTAGGGAGAATTAGAAGTGGGACGATTCTAATATTTGATTGTCAAAGGAAATATTTCTTTCCTGGTGGATAGTTAAATGTAGTCCATGTCAGGCATCACTACCTTGATCTGGTACTTAGGAACATGATGAAGTTGTTGGGCCCACTTAGGGCAGACATAGGGGAGTAGCTTACATGTAGCCATATTCCTTCATTATTTACATGTGATCAGAAAAAACGTTTGTTTACACAGGGCGTATCAAAATGAAAGTAATAATATCACACACACGCTTGAACATGATTTCACGGTGTTATTCTCATATTCAAACAGTTTAATAACTCTGATTTTTTTTCGGAACCTTTCTGGTGTTACCTTATGGTATCATCAAAATTGGACTGAACGTTTCCACTGCAAACCTCTGCGGAAAACAGTCACATGTGGACTTAATGTGGCATTTTGGACACAATAATTATGTTGAAAGTGCAAAATGTCATGTGATAACTCTTCAGTTCAACACTATCCATATATTTGCAATATAAAACAATTACTCTCAATAACACCGACTTTGAAAGATGGCGGGAAATTTTGAACTCCTAAACATGATAGGTTCTGGAACATATGGTGAAGCATGGCTAGCGAAAAATCTGAAGAATGAAAAGAAATGTGTCGTTAAAGTTATCAAAATTCTGAAGCTGTCTGAAAAGGAACTTGACAGATCTCTGACTGAGGTCTCCATTCTGGCCAGATGCAACCATCCCAACATCATCAGCTACCTGGATGCTTACGTGTTGGATGGTAACCTTAATATCGCTATGGAGTATGCAGACGGAGGTATATTTTGTTATGCTTTTTATCTGTGATGCCAAGGCCACATTTCCATTCAAGGCCGATAACTCAACCCTAGCTGTGTACTACTCATGTTATTTTCTTTCTCCAGACCTGCTTCATACGGGTCACCTAACTGGCATCTGCATGTGAGCATTAAAATGTCCGGTTAGGTTGCTAGGTCGAACCCAAGCAGTTTCAGAGTGTTCCTTCCTATCACAGAGTTAGTGCTGTTGACCACTCCCAAAGGTAGAATGTACAGGAGATTGAGATGCTTCCTTGGAGATATCGAACCTGGGTTGTTGTTGTCAAAGCCATTGTGAAGGAGTAGTGTAGAAGTTAAGAGTACAGATAACCTTACTAACATCAGCTAATGGTCCATTTAGTCAAGCAGTATGTTGTTTGGCTATTCACCGAAGGGTGGTAGTTTCGAAGCCCAGATTTGGCGGTGTCTTTTCATTACTCCTTCCTATTACATTAGCAAAGATTACCTGGAGTGTGGGGATGAGGGGAAGCTTAGAGAAAAAATGTTAAAATATATAATTTTTGAAAATATTTATTTACATTTAACATCAGACTATGTACAATGGTACAATTTAGTGTAGGAGAACATTGAGAAGTCAGCTGATCTTTAAATATGTCTACAGAAGCACTGTTTACAATGGCTGAAGGGAAGATATCCCATTGGACAATGGTGCATGGAAAGAAGAACCATTTGAAGGCATCATTTGTTGCAGATATATTTCTGAAATTTTGTTTGTTTGATTTTTGTGTTCTACTGTCAATAGGAAAGAGGAACAGCAATGAAACATGTGATTACAATACATTCTTCAAAATTTTGTATTAGGAAAAATGTATCAATTGCAAACCATAGAAAAATATAGCTAAAATACTGTATATTAGCAAATTAAATTTCACTCTGTTTTCATCAAAACAGTGTAGTTTGGGCATTTAATTTTGATATTTGTTGAAAGAGTTCAGGTCATCAGGTCATGAGAAAAAATCTCTGGTGACCTTTGTGATCAGCATTTGTCCATTGTCAAGCATAAATCTTTTTTAAAACAATTGCATTTTCTACATAATTTTTCAGCTTTTGATGAAAATTGATAGGAATCTTACTCATTTTTATTGTAATTAATCACTATTGATAAAAAATACAGTGTATACATTTGAGGCGACTAAGGGAAATTCAGAGTGATCAAAACAAAAGTCAGAATTTAGTAAAATATTTTACTGTGCTTAATGTATTTCAGGTGATCTACACAAAAACATTGTTGGTCAAAAAGGGATTCATTTTGGAAAAGAGGTATGGTATACACACTGGCAAAATCATTCTTTATTGTATTATGATTAAATTCATATTTCTGGGCACATGCTGATCATCTTTCCTGATTGATAAAGGAAAAAAACTCAAGAAAAAGTAATATTTACGAAAACAGCATAATTTCTGTTTTTTTTTTTTTTTTTTCTTTCTTTTTCTTGGAAATCAGAAGTTATAGAGTCTGTATCTGAAAAATAAGACATCGAATTTCTAAAATTCCCAGAAGTCTCATGAAGCGTATTTGTCTAGCCAGGAATTAAGAAACCTGTGACTGTTAGCCATTCTCTGCTTTTAATTTCAGGTGATTTTTGACTGGTTTGTCCAAATCTGTCTGGCACTGAAGTACATACATTCCAGTAATATTCTCCATAGAGGTGAGGAAAAATTTGACTTTTTATCATTGGACTGAAAATCTCCGCATTTATTTGAAATCCACACCATAGAAATGGATATGTCTTGATATTTAATTCAATAAAGTTGACTGGATGTACAAGTGTATGCTATCACTCCATCATTTATAGTGGTGCGCACATCCATTAAAATTAGCAAGTCATCACTAGTTGTCATCAACATAACATCATAATCCTGCAATAATCCCCAGTTGGTGATGGGGGAGGGGATGTGTGTTTGTCAACACAGAATCTCTGTCTCAAAGTCAGGGGTTGATTTATTACAAGAAAATACCAATAAGTCAACACAATCATATCCAATCCAAAATTCAATAAAATTGCAGCAAAAATATGAAAAAAATGAAACATTTATACAGAGACTTATGAAAAAGTACAAGGAGAATAAGACCAGGCGTTCCAGAAGTTTAGTGTTTTCTGCTTCATCGACAACATTAATCATGTAAATCTTGGTCAATCCAAGTAAGTAATGTCAGGTTCTCTAATAAGAACAAGGTATACAACAATAGAACCAACAGGCAAAGTAACAAGTATCAAACATGTACAGCTTCATATCACAAAAATAAATAGAATATTTCTCCATGAGATAATGGGACACCACTGGTTTATGATTTTATTGAATAGAAAATATTAAGTGAGATTATTACTGGCAGTGGGCTTATTCATGGATACAAATGGTCATTGTATGAAAAAATCTTACACCATTGTCAGATGGCTGACATTTTTTTGACCCCCATATTGGATTTGATTACAATCTCTATATGTACAGGTTTTTTTATTACTACTCAGATCTGAAGTCCCAGAACATCTTTCTGAACAGCAAGCGTGTCATCAAACTTGGAGATTTTGGGATTGCAAGGATACTACGTGACAGTGGTGACCATGCTGTTACTACCATAGGCACACCATTCTATCTGAGTCCAGAAATATGTCAACGTAAACCGTATCCTCAAAGATTTTTAAATGTCAGTGATGTAAGGTTTATCACCAGTATTTGAGCAAGTAATGGTGACCCATGACCTGTGACCCATGACCTACAAAATTTGACAGATATACAACAATATATACATCCTATAGTCAATGTTGTTTATGACATCACTTACCTGATTCTCATTATTTTCACTTGATGGCCTTGACTCATAAATACATAAAATGTTTGTACTTGACACCTTTGTTCTAATAGATCACCTTGACTCATATTTGACCTTATGACCTTTGACAATGCTTGAACCCAGTGTTTTACCCATTGGCCTTTAATTATAGTTAATTGAGTCAACCCCTATGTATAATAACCTTACAATGTTTACCAATTCTTGAACCCTGTATTATACCAAATGACCTTTAACTATACTTAATTGAGTACACTGCTGTTTATGACCTTATGACCTTCACCTTTATGTAAATACTTGACTTCCGCTTTTAACCTTAATCCGAGACCAGATATAACCACAAAAGTGATATGTGGGCAGCTGGATGTGTGCTGTACGAAATGTGTTGTCTACGCGTCCCGTTCAATGCTCCAAACTTTGATTCCCTTGTAATGATAATTCTGCAAGGAAAGTGTGACCCCATTCCAAGGTAGGTATAGATAATCAGAAACTTTAAATCCTAAATGAATTGATTTTATTCTGGCAAAACTATTTTGTCACTTGTTTTCATTTCAGGGGTGTATATTAAACATGTTAAACAACGTACATCTTAACTACTGTATATAGATTGTTGTATTGAAAAAAGATATCATAGATCCACATGTATTATGAAACAATGTACATGTTGTTTAACTCCAGTATACATCAGCTTGTTGTTAAATATTAAAAGCATCAAGAGACATCCATTTTTTTGTCTAAAGTCCATCTTTGTCCACAAATGCAGACCATCTTGTTACTTGTTACTGACTTAACAAGAAAGAATTTGGTTTTAGCTTGTCAAATAACCGTCTGGACTACAATGTACATGTAGAAATTTGAAATATGGAGTTTGATTTTCTTATTACTTTTAGTTAAGTGCGAAGTTGCTAAATTCACATGCTTTGAATTGTTTGTTTTTCTTTTTTTGGGATCTTTCAAAACATAAGATTCCTTGTCCTTTTAAGTTAACCTTTAAACTCTCTGTAATAATGTGACTTGTCACTGGAATATTTCAGATACTTTGGAGCTACTCTGGAGCACTTGATCCACAGACTACTTAACAAGGATCCAGACATCCGGCCAACAGCCAATGAGATTCTTTCAATGCCACAGCTGAGGTCCTACACATTACGGTATGAACAAGGAGAAGATCACATGCGATGTTCGATCACAGAAAAAATTGCTCAAATTGTTTTACCTGATGATGGAAAAAACAAACCTTTAAAGTCAAACAAGGATTCTTCAGATGAGAAACAGGATATGAAGAAATCGAGTGAAGATAATGTTAATGTTTCCGCACCAAAAGACACAGACGTCCTAGAAGTTTCCAAAAGGAGATCTCTAGAACGCAAGCAAATTGATAGTGCATATGCACCGAAAAAACCGGTTAAGGAGAAAAAAGTTTTGTCTAAAGGTGGTCATGTTAAGGAAGTCCCTCGACCAGCGAAAAAGATACCTCTGGCGAAAAACAACTCCCAACTGGCTCTCCGTAAAATGTCTGTAAACAAGATGGAGGAGAAACAGATTGATAACTTCAGTAAACAGAAATCTAGAGAGAAAAAGACGGTCAACGATAACATAAAGAGGGGAAAACCATCAGCTGATAAAGAAAATGTAAGATAATTTAATTGAAGGCTTTTTTATACACCAACTTTGATATATGATCATAAAATGAAAACAAATTTTATAGAGTTTGGTTTGATACTGCATGGTTCAAATTTTCCAAATTATTGATAAATAACATTTTACGATAGTCTGATGCCTCAAATATTTCTGTTCAAAATATCTTTCACTGACTTCTCTAACACTGTAAAGTAAGATATATATTCGTTTACATACCAGTCTAGTCAGTCATTTTTAATCATTACAGATATCTGGAGTCTCAGGATGTCAACTTTATATGGTTAAGTGGGAAAACATTTCAGGATAGTCTTGTCATTACTAAATTAATATTTTTGATTGGGGTCAGGATTCATATTTCCTTGTATCATCAACATACATTCATCCAGAACTTTGTAACCCAGACCTCAAGAACAAAGTCAAATTAACTTTTTCTGTTATGCCTACAAATACCATTTTATATAAACGTTTTCGTATATATTGGTTTTATTTTTGGGTTTTAATACTTTTGCTATAGGTCAGGGTAGATCTAGATATCCCAAATGTATATTGCTTGGCATCATTGATAGTAATTAAAAATTCAAACTATTTTCAATGCCTCAATGTGGTATAAAGTGATTACAAAATATAATCTGTCACCTCTGCACATTTTTCTGATAAATCAGAGAAATCTCAACCCCTGGGATAAGATTTTTATGCTCCCCAAAGGGAGAGCATATAGTCACGACTTTGTCCGTCCATCATAATTTGTCTGGAGCATAACACAAAAACTATTAGAGGTGTCAACTTGAAACTTCAAAGGTAGATAGATCTCAACAGGAAGAAGTGCAGAGTACCAGAACCATCACTCTTTTTTTTTTAATTTAAGAGTTAATGTCCTTTGTTATTTTTCATGCTTAAATTTTATCCAGAGCATTACACTAAAGATATAAGAGGTATCAACACGAAGCTCCCTAAGTAGATATATCTCAACAAGAAGGTAGGGTAGTGCTCTAAAATCATACCTCTCTAATTGCCAATTTTTATTTTTCACACTTAAATTCTGTCCCATTTGTGGAGCGTAACCTGTTTCTGATGGCCCTTGTTAAAGTTGAATTTAACTTTTGCTAAACTTTGAAAATCCTAGGCTTGAGTTAATACATGTTCCACACAGGTCAACAATGTTATCGGTCCATTTGTTCTTTAAAGGTTGATCCCGGACAGCTATCTGGTAAAACCTATGCTGTGAAAAACCCAAAATTCAGGCACCTGTCTCACGCTGCTCCAAGGATCTGTAGCATCATCAGTCGCCAGAGGGCAGCACTGTCAGCAGATCTTGAACGAACCAACAAAAAGGACTTAAAGGTAATCATACTGCATGTAAAACAAATACAGAATTTGTAAACTTGGTCCGATTTGAGGATGACTTGGAACTCCTTTTTGGTGCTGAAATATAGTAGAAATTTAATATAAATTTGGTAATATATTCTGTGATAACTTGCTAGTTTTTCAAATGTTTACAATCATCCTGATTGGACGAAAGTAATGACATAATTACATGATATAATAATTTGATTTAAATAATTTAAATTTGATAATTCATTTCCATATTGGCTAATCATCAAATAATCTGGAAACCAACAACAAGGGCCAGGGGGAATAACTCAAATAGAACCAAGGGCAAGGGGAATAACTCTAGCTTATAGAATCAACAGATCCACCACAGTTGGAACAACTAAGAGATGCTCCCAAAATATTTTCGGGAGGTGCATAGCCTAACACTTTCTGGCTGTGGCAAATTGTGTTTCCCTGGAGGCTGAGAAACTGACAAATCTGTGCTGACGTGGTTTTGTCCACAAGTAAGACACTTTAGCCTGATTGCTCTGGAGAGATTGCACTTTGATTGAAACTGCAATTTATTTAGATTTCCATGTTCTATTGGACATGGGCTTATTACCAGATAAGTAAAGTTTTTCTCGATGTTACTTATAAATTATTGCTTTTCTTTATTTTTGAAAGACTGGAATACGGTCAACTGACAAACCGAATACAGAGGAGAAATCTGGGGACTCTCTGGGGGATGTGAGAACAATGATTGTAAATGGTGACCTTGACAACAATGATGACGAAGTCTTTCAGAACACGTTATCCATGTCTGCAGAAATACCAGAACGTCCAGTCAGAGATGAATCCTGTGGTCAGCAAGAAAAGAGGAAATCCTTAGGGATGCAGCCAAACTGCTGGAAGACTTACATTAAAGGGAAGCAACTCCCGAGGAGGTCAACTTCCTGTGAAAATGTTAAGTCTAAAAACACAGGACAGAAAATTGGACAGAGGGCTATGTCAGATGGCAACATCCAGGGAAATGTGAGGAAAGTGAATGAAAAAACATACCTTGTATCAAAACTGGCATCTAAAGAAGGAGGTAAGTAGACTAAAAGATATACAGTATTCTTGTTTTCAGGAGGGAGATAGGTACAGTTAAAGATAAACAGTCGGCTTGGTTTTGTATTAACATATGTAAAGGTTGAAAGAAAGAGAATTGGGATCATATGCAATGACATTCCAAATATCAGTAAGACAATGCCATGGAGTCTGTGCCTTAATCTTGATAATGGTTTCTGTTTAGATTCCAGAGTGGATAAGCTCCCTCCATCAGGAAAAAGGACTGTGGCTGTGTTTATTGCCAAAACCTTATACAACACCATCCTCGACACCCAGTCAACACCTTCTGCTGCAGCCGGAGCTCTCTACTGCCACCTGGTGGATGTGTTTGGTCAGAAGAGGGCTAAAGCATTGGTGGAATGTACATCTCAGTGCCTGTCACATCAGAAGGACTTCAGTGTTGTTCAGCAGGAATACAGTGATAATGAATTGGTGTACTTCCCTCTGGTGGTCCAGTACCTCGCTCAACAGAACGTCATGGACTAGAGGTCAAGTGTTTTGCTCTGCAGAACGTCATGGACTAGAGGTCTAGTACCTTGATCTACAGAATGTCATGGACTAGAGGTCCAGTAACTCGCTCAACAGAACGTCATGGGCTAGAGGTCAAGTATACTCGCTCTACAAAACATCATGGACTAGAGGTCCAGTATTTTGCTCTACAGAACTTCATGGACTAGAGGTCCAGTAACTTGCTCTACAGAACTTCATGGACTTGAGATCCAGTACCTCGCTCAACAGAATGTCATGGACTAGAGGTCTCGTATTTTGCTCTGCAGAAGTTTGTGGACGAGTCATACAGTAACTCTCTCTACAGAATTTCATGGAATGGTGATTCAGTAGCTTGCTCTACAGAACTTTAGAGACCGAGTGGTACAGTACTTCACACTACAGAATGTCGGGGATTATTGATTAAAGATCAATAAAATGACACTATACTTTGCATTTTGAAGATTCTATTTTTTCAATGAAATATTAACACATTTTGAACAAACTTAAAAGTGTTTGAAGCTGACATCTAATCACTTAAGTTAAAAGTTAATTCTTCTGTGGAGTTCAACTGTAGCCCCTAAACATTTAATACTGTTTATAGCAGGCAGGGTGAGACTTGCAATCCTGTGACTAAGTGTTAAACAAAGTGTAGCCGAGTTGATCATGACTGAAGTACACCGTTACCATCTTACTTGCTTTTTTCTACAGTCTGTTTACCATTTCATAACACTCATTTCAACCTAAGTGTACATAGGACTTTAGAACTGTTGAATAAGTTTACTGATTCCTTACCATCTCGTACACTACGTACGTCAGTGATAATACGCTTCACCCTGGTCGTTTGTCTAATTGAATCGCCACACTCAAATTAAATACAATAGTGTTTTGTTTTTTGATGAGCCTTAAGTCATAACGGCACCAAGAGGAACCTATATGTACATATGAAATTTGAGAAAGATGCATTCAGTTTGTTGGAAAGATCCTCCAACTTGCTTTGGGTATCCATGAAAACAAAGTTGTTATATTTTGATGCCGACCTCTATATGTAACACACCAGAAATAATACTTTCATAAGAGTGGCATACCAAAGGCTTTTTTAAAGGTTTCAAGAGAGGGTCCAGAGGCGAAGCCCGTTGTCAGTTGGGGGAGGGGGGGGGGGCTGGGCAAAAAAGACATTGTCATAGGAGGAGGGGGGCCTGGGCAAAAAAGACATTGTCATAGGAGGAGGGGGGGCCTGGGCAAAAAAGACATTGTCATAGGAGGAGGGGGGGCCTGGGCAAAAAAGACATTGTCATAGGAGGAGGGGGGCCTGGGCAAAAAAGACATTGTCATAGGAGGAGGGGGGGCCTGGGCAAAAAAGACATTGTCATAGGAGGAGGGGGGGCCTGGGCAAAAAAGACATTGTCATAGGAGGAGGGGGGGCCTGGGCAAAAAAGACATTGCCAGATAATTAATCTCATTTAAAATTCATCTGTTTGCCACTTGTCTCATTTTCAAAGTAGCAAACAATGAGTAGTTTTCCACACAAAGCTGAATAAGTATGTTTACTATTTCTTGGTAGTAGCATTCCTCTTTCTCCAATCTATGATGTTTACATATTCTAAGGCTTCGTTTCAGTATCATGGTTTCTGGTAGATTTTGACAGAGAATCTGACAACACTTGGTTTCCTGATATGCAGATTTATGAAATTTTGGAAAGGAATTTGATCTCAATCACCATTGATTTAGAAATTTGAATATAGATTATGTACAAGTGTAATGATTCAAGTCACACTTCAATTTTAGATGTTGATATAATTATTGTGAAAAGATCCTAATTAGAAACGATGACCTTTCAGATTTGCAGGAAATTGTCACAAGACTGAAGACTTTTGGTAAATGTTTAATGTACAATGTAACGATGATAACAAATTTATTAAACCAAGAAAACAAATCTACATCTGATGTACACAAATTCAATCCTTTGACTTCATAACATCCGACATATTTATAAACTTTGTCAATATGACACAAATATGGAAGAATTTCAAAAGTTGAAAATAGTAAATTAATGAAAACATGAAGAAACCCAAAATCAAAGTGGTATTTTTTCAGATTTTATGTCAATACACAGTACACGAGTGATTTTTTAAACTTCTATGACGCCAGTGGCTGTTTTACTGTTTGCTAACAGTGGTGATCAATTTTGATAGCAAATTATAGTAAAAGAAGTATTTTGAATTTTTATTATTAAATTTTAAATCGTACGAATGAATTTTTTCAACAACACAGAAATGAAATGACAGGCGGACATGTACCAAGAAAACTTGTCGCCGAACAAGGCCTTGACCTTGGTGATGATGTATAGAAATCAGACCTCGCGGGTCTACCTTAAATTTCCCATAGATTAAGCAAAAAAATATTTACAAATCATAGATCATACGTCAAATGATGTAGCATTTATCTTTAATTTGAAATATATATAATTAAGGATGTATGCTACATTTTTGTGACGTATGATCTTTCTGTGAAAAAATACCACATTGAAATAATTATATTGTATTTGTCACGATTTTTGTACTCAAGAAAATCGTCATTATGAAAATAATTATAGAAAATTAAACCAAAAGTCATTTATCGAATAAGGGAGAAGAATTCTTGCAAAAGTCCATGGAAATACTCTTGCACCGTTCGGTCTTTCATACTGTTTTTCGACACATCCTTCTGTGGGGACAATGCTTGGACGGAGAGCACTTCTCGGATCCTTCGGTTTCTCACCGAATTCCTGGCGGATTCCCTGGAATGCTTGGAGGTTTTGCTCCGTTGCATTTCGCACAGTCGAAGTTGACAGAAAACAGCCGTATGTCCTTGTAAAACGCACGCATTACCATGACAACGCGATGAGTACATTCCTGTTGCTCGCACAGTCCTGGACTAGACCCTGCCTTCAGACACTTCCGTTTCTTTCCATCACACTCCATTGTTTTAATTAATTTGTCTTTGAAATTGTCGACTTGTTCTGAAAAAATAGTATTGTATTTCATGTGAATATAATCTTATATCATAATCTTTGTTTTAAAAAACTAACTTAACGGAATTTCAAAACATGATTTGGCAATTTCAATTTTTTACTTTAACAATTTAACTCTCTAAGAATAATTTTTAAATCATAAATACATTATGCAAGCAATCAGCATCCAAAAACCATTCCTGCACTAGAAATTGGGAACGCCCTTGTCATCGGACATATCGGGTTTACAAAACAAGGTATTTGACAATATATGTTCGTACACTAGGCTATATCTGCGGTATGGCACAGTTATATTTTACTGAAGAAGTAACTTTTTTCCCAATAAGTGGCATTCATCGTCTTATGAATGACATATACATATACAATTATTGACTTGTTTTCAGGTGAATATCGGGATTTATTAACCATATCTTGCAGTTGACATTGCCGGAGGCCGGAGAGTCCTCAGAAAATATTACCTTCTCGGGATACTAAAATACACGTACCGGTATTCAAACAGTCAACAGTTGTGTATTTTTAACCTTCGGACAGTTATAGTGAAACATACTTTTTGACGCTGCTCCGAGTACCATGCTCTTGGTCATTTGCTTTCGGAACACTTTGGTGTCTTCGTAGATAAGTATACGGAAAGTAGACATGTTGAGATGGATGTCTTGAGATCCGTCCCGACAGCGAGGCTCGTTCTCGGGGTTGCTCAGGCTTTCACACGCTGTTTGATAAAAGACCATTTATTATCATTCTGCGACATATTTAAAATTAGTGAATATTTATGTTAGAATCAACGTTCCTGTTCAAAATAACAAAAATAAGAATCTAAATATGTATAATTCAAATGTAAAATTCCATCGTTTTTGCATCATCTCGATATAAACCTTTGATGAACCGGCAACATTTCGGACCACCAAAGATGATAAGAAACTAGAACAATATTATGTTATAAAGTATTATAGTAAATACTCAAATAAAGTTTATCTTTTACGGATCCTAGATTACGTAAACCTGTCACAATGTAAACAGTCCGTACGTGCTAACGGAGACACTGTCGTGATGAAGCATTTAGAGCACAATACAATAAGTTTGCCCGCAGAACTATGTCATATATATCGACCATGAATGACATCACAACAATATGCTTTTAGTTATAGTCCCTGTCCTATCAGTCGATTTAAGCTGAAATCAATTATTCACTATTCACAGTATAATCCGCCAGGTGGCATACCGTCACCATTTCTAAGGTCACGTGTGATTTATTGTACCGTACAAAAAACAAACAAGTAAAAAGCAATTGTAATAATCTAGAGGCAGATACAGAAGAGAAAACTAGGAATTAAACTGCATCATACAACTGTTTCGTCCTTCCGGGACTTGTCAGTGTTGCTACATCATACAACTGTTTCGTCCTTCTAGGACTCGTCAGTGATGCTACATCATACAACTGTTTCGTCCTTCCAGGACTTGTCAGTGATGCTAAGGGCCTATTTTGAAGACTATGAGGCGACTAAGGAAAATCCGAAGTAATCGGGGGAAAAAGTCAACATACTAACCTGTCTTTCCTATTCGCCATTTCCATAATTCCACCTCGTCTTTCTTTGCGTTGTCGAAGGCCACAAACAATTCCTTGCCCTCTATGTGTCTGTAAATCAGATGGTCGGTCCTTTTAGGGATACACATGTGACGTAGGAACCGAGGGATCCTCGTCCTGTTGTACACGGGGCGGTTCGTCAGCACGGGCGGCATTGTGGTTACCACCGGCTCGCCGTGGTGGTGTCGATGTTTGTGACCAATGGCATCTGTAGGAAAAGGAAAGCGTCTCAATGAAAGATTTTTGAAAAACGTCCCCGGCAACAGTGATTTTACGAAGATGCGTATTTTTCTTTTTTTCTCGAATTCAGTAATATCTTTATTAAATTCTCTCCCCATGTCAATATACTTCTGTTGCGAGATCCCGAACTTCCAACCAAAACTAATGTAGATATCATACTGGTCG